TGGTATATGGACATTAAGTGTTTTTTAGTGTGGTATATGGACATTAAGTGTTGGTTAGTGTGGTATATGGACATTAAGTGTTGGTTAGTGTGGTATATGGACATTAAGTGTTTTTTAGTGTGGTATATGGACATTAAGTGTGGGTTAGTGTAGTATATGGACATTAAGTGTTGGTTAGTGTGGTATATGGACATTAAGTGTTTTTTAGTGTGGTATATGGACATTAAGTGTTGGTTAGTGTAGTATATGGACATTAAGTGTTAGTTAGTGTGGTATATGGACATTAAGTGTGGGTTAGTGTAGTATATGGACATTAGGTGTGTCAGTGTGGTATATGGACATGAGGTGTGTCAGTGTGGTATATGGTCATTAGTATAATATGTTTTGGGACCAGGTTCAGTTTTGGTTGGAGCATTAGTTCATTCATTGTTTAGTTGTTTTCCACTGACCAAATACTGCTGTGATATTGACCACTGACCAAATACTGCTGTGATATTGACCACTGACCAAATACTGCTTTGATATTGACCACTGACCAAATACTGCTGTGATATTGACCACTGACCAAATACTGCTTTGATATTGACCACTGACCAAATACTGCTGTGATATTGACCACTGACCAAATACTGCTTTGATATTGACCACTGACCAAATACTGCTTTGATATTGACCACTGACCAAATACTGCTGTGATATTGACCACTGACCAAATACTGCTGTGATATTGACCACTGACCAAATACTGCTGTGATATTGACCACTGACCAAATACTGCTGTGATATTGACCACTGACCAAATACTGCTTTGATATTGACCACTGACCAAATACTGCTGTGATATTGACCACTGACCAAATACTGCTTTGATATTGACCACTGACCAAATACTGCTGTGATATTGACCACTGACCAAATACTGCTTTGATATTGACCACTGACCAAATACTGCTGTGATATTGACCACTGACCAAATACTGCTGTGATATTGACCACTGACCAAATACTGCTTTGATATTGACCACTGACCAAATACTGCTGTGATATTGACCACTGACCAAATACTGCTGTGATATTGACCACTGACCAAATACTGCTGTGATATTGACCACTGACCAAATACTGCTGTGATATTGACCACTGACCAAATACTGCTTTGATATTGACCACTGACCAAATATTGCTGTGATATTGACTACTGACCAAATACTGCTTTGATATTGACCACTGACCAAATACTGCTTTGATATTGACCACTGACCAAATACTGCTGTGATATTGACCACTGACCAAATACTGCTGTGATATTGACCACTGACCAAATACTGCTGTGATATTGACCACTGACCAAATACTGCTGTGATATTGACCACTGACCAAATACTGCTTTGATATTGACCACTGACCAAGTACTGCTGTGATATTGAATGTACATGTATACTGATACTGGGGTTCTACAGTGACAGACTTTATTTATACATGAGAAAATCAAGATGAGATTAATTTGGATGAAATGAATCCATTTGAGGTATTGGTTTAATATGCATGTTCCACAAAGAGGAAAGGTGCTTGTTGGATAAAACAGAGGATTTAGACACTGAAGCCTTTAACATTGTGCGGAATAAACTTACAACTCTGTTTATCATCAGTATTTCACAATGCTACATTAAAATTTGGGGAAACATGTTTCTGATCCTTGTTGGTATGTTTCCAGAGGCCCAGATAAGCTGCATATCCGGGTAAAATACGCATATAAAATTTCCAATTACGCATTGAAAAATAATTGTTGCATACCAATTACACATTTAAAATGTAAGATACGCAAAAAGTTTAAAACAAATGCGTACGGAATATATTTATAAAAATCGCTTGCGTAATGAAAAAGACATCGATTGCTATCAAGTTGTACTGTTAGTATAGGACAAGTGTTGTACTGTCAGTATAGGATGAGTGATTTTTTATGAAATCATTTCCATTATATTTAAGTTGGTTTTGATTAGGTATGACATAAGGCAGAACATACCTGCTTAGTAAACGTACTCAGTCACATAATACTTAGGTGAGTAAAATGACTGAAATACGCACATACGTATTTGAAAGCAGTGGGTAACAAAAAATGAAATACCCACTCAACATTCATAATACCCACTCCAAAAAAATACAGTGGGTGCAGTACCCACATGAGCTAAATCTTATCTGGAGCTCTGTGTTTTCTTCAAGACAACTGCTGGTTTGTTTCATAAACCTCAGAACTAAATAGAGGATATTATATGAGTAAATGTTGATATTTCCCGAGCGAGAGCGAGGGATATACATATCTTTAGGCATGAGAAACGTAACATCACCATGACAAAGTGATATTTTGCCCTAGGGCATCGTATGAAACATATGAACACCGATATGTTCACCCTCGTAGGTAATAATATTGGTTATGTCCATGTTTCCATAGAAAAAGTAGTTTTGTATGCAAATTGTTCCCAAAACTGTTAATTACTCAAGCCTAGATTTGTTAGGGTTTTCTCCTGTTGATTTTTGTTTTCTTATATTTTTTGGGGTATCTGTATATTATGTTTTTGTTATGTGAAAGAAAAATTTATGGAGAAAAAAATATGTTTCTCATAGAATATTTTACTAGAGAGGGTACTGAAAATGTGTAAGAGCTTCAGTTTCTCCATGTCAGCATTATCGGGGTCTGTGAACACATCTCCAGTGCTGCTTCCCTTCCATGGTCTCCTGGGCCATGTGGTCAGGGGAGTGATGTCATCATGTGTTGTGTCTGTTCATCCTTCAGTCTGTGATCTGTAACATCCCTAGACACACTGTGCATGTGTCATGTCTGTTCATCTATCAGTCTGTGATCTGTAACGTCCCCAGACACACTGTGCATGTGTCATGTCTGTTCATCTGTCAGTCTGTGATCTGTAACGTCCCCAGACACACTGTGCATGTGTCATGTCTGTTCATCTATCAGTCTGTGATCTGTAACGTCCCCAGACACACTGTGCATGTGTCATGTCTGTTCATCCGTCAGTCTGTGATCTGTGGCGTCCCTGTGAGACACACTGTGCATGTGTCATGTCTGTTCATCCGTCAGTCTGTGATCTGTAACGTCCCCAGACACACTGTGCATGTGTCATGTCTGTTCATCCGTCAGTCTGTGATCTGTAACGTCCCCAGACACACTGTGCATGTGTCATGTCTGTTCATCCGTCAGTCTGTGATCTGTAACGTCCCCAGACACACTGTGCATGTGTCATGTCTGTTCATCTGTCAGTCTGTGATCTGTAACGTCCCCAGACACACTGTGCATGTGTCATGTCTGTTCATCCGTCAGTCTGTGATCTGTTACGTCCCCAGACACACTGTGCATGTGTCATGTCTGTTCATCTGTCAGTCTGTGATCTGTAACGTCCCCAGACACACTGTGCATGTGTCATGTCTGTTCATCTGTCAGTCTGTGATCTGTAACGTCCCCAGACACACTGTGCCCCAGACACACTGTGCATGTGTCATGTCTGTTCATCTGTCAGTCTGTGATCTGTAACACATACGCCTACACAATCCTCATGAAATACATGAGCATATCCACACTCACAGACAAAAATTTCGAGGTTAGTTTCAGAATGTTTCACTTTTATCCCCTAATGTTGATACATTCAGTATGAAAATAAACTGGAGTGACAGTCACAATGCATAATGTACTAGTTTGTGTACTTAGAAAACAGTATTAAAAATCACTGTGTCACCATAGGAATACTGTTGTTTATTTATTTTACATTTGTTTGGGCCAGAATACACCATGCAAGTGTCTCTAAGTATGGACAAGTAGATGAGAAATGAGTTATTCATCAATGATAAGGTGCCTTTACACATCACAGCTCTCACAGACAACTCAGCCAGAAGGCAGAAGCACAGACACTCAGTTGCCTTGCCGACAGTACAGTTAGAGTCTGTTAGAGGGACATTTATAATTTTATATAAATTCTCATTTAAACTATTAATTATTACTTTAGAGACTTGTGCAAGTCTAGCTACCGAGATTCAAGTTGCAATGGTGTACTCCAGAGTCCATACAGACCTGCACAACTCTCTAAGATTTTAAATAATAGCTTACATTATATTTTCTAAAACAAAATATGAATAAAACCAAAACATTGTCCTTCTAATAGACTTGCGTCCTTAGTACTGTCCGCTTATCTAGACTTGCCTTTTTAAAAGGATATAACTACTATACATCCATGGGCTTAGCATTCAGTACAGCCGTAGAGCAAGGCTAGATCCCACAGAGCCAACGCTCAGCTCGCTCCTATCACAGGGGCGTGTCACGCTTAGAAACAGCGTTAGAAAGACATATAGGTATATAGACCCTACCCTAGTATATAGGGTCTATATACCTATATGTCTTTCTAATGATGTTTCTAAGCGTGACACGCCCCTGTGGTGTGTCAGACACCAGCCCGGCTCTGGTTGAAGTCGACATCACAGCTGAGTTAGCTTGACACGTGGATAATGTCGTTTAGCAACACTGTGCATATTACATTACTTAACCAGATTAGAACAGTCTCTCATGCATATTTAAAAACTCAAATATTGGGTCAAAGAAAATTGTTGCTATGAATACTTAGAAAGAAACTTTACATAATCATTAATCAGTGAAGTAACATTTTTACAATTATAGAAATAATGGGAAACCTCCTCCAAAGTTTTACAGTCGTCACATTCTGGTGATTCACTTAAGTGAAGTTTAAACAACCATTTCTTACATGGCACAATATTGTGTATGATCTTGAATTGTAATTCTTTTAACTTGTTGGATAACGGAAGGGTTGTAAAAAGACAGTACATTTTGCTAGTATGTGATGAATCATTAAATGTATATGGTAAAGTGACTTTGTTATCCACAATCATGGAATAAAAGTGCGTAGACTTAATCTTATCATTCATTTGCTGAGTGCGGTGTAAAACTCAACTCAACTGTTATCATTCATAATATTTCCCTGTAACTTAGGTAGTGTGTTTAACAAAAACTGAATTTTTGGACTATATTTATAAAACATGTTGCTCGCTATTGCCCTTTGAACAGCTCTTTTGATGTTGTAAAAATATCTACTGTTAATATTCAAATTATATATCTCTTGTAACTCTAGTCTAGTTCTTAACTGTCCACTTTCATCAAGCAAATATCTAACATATACAATGCCAGCTTTTACCCATTTATTCATTATACACAGACTTCTTATTTAAAATGACTAATGTATTATTCCAAATTATTTGATTAAATATATCTTCATCAATGTTAACAGTATAAGTTTCACTATACTGATATCAAAGTTTCTATGAAGCATTTCATTATAGATTTGAAATATGCTCTGGAAATATATAAATATTCAAAGGTAAAGTTTATGTATTTAGAAGCACTCATGTTAGATTTTCAATAAAATTATAATTGGTAAATATTTGAGTTTTAAATTGGGACTTAAAATACTCTATATAAAGTCTCACTATACCAATATCAAAGTTTCTATGAAGCTTTTCATTATAGATTTGTAATATGCTCTTGAATTATATGTAGGTAAAGTTTGTGTATGTAGAAGCACTCATGATAGATTAACAATAGAAAATATAATTGATAAAGGTTTAAGGCTATAAACCAGTAGTCCCTGCGAGGGCTGAATAAAAACTGTTTGTTCCATTGAAAAGAAAACAAGAAAAAGGAAAAACAGTCTCTCATAGCTTATCACGGAATCTACAGACATAAACGCGCCGATTACACTTAGATTACAAACTAAAACAATAACGTGATAATAAATTAAGCTTGAGTATCTCTTGAGAAGGAGGTTTGACGAGGATACCACGAGGATAGAAAACACATTCCATATACACACGAGAACATGTATACAGATTCTTCTTTTTGTACTCCTGAATCGAGCTGTTATTCATTAATCCGTTTTCAGTAAAATGTGCGTAGCTGACGACATACAAGATTGCAAGCTTAGGATGACTGACAAAAGATCAGCTTCGATTTACTTTTAAGAAAAGCGTGTTAGAGTGTCAGTGTCACCTGTAGCGCTGATATAAATATTTTAGGCACACCATCCACAGATTTGATTTGTTCTGTGACGCAATATTCTCGGCAAGACTGATTGTCTATATGTTGTTAAAATAGGGCTGTTATCGATACATTTGCCTCTACGCTTTACGTAGACTAACGCTTAGTGTCTGAATATACATAAATTTGATAGTAACAAATAAACCCATTTAAATTAAAAAGGAGCCCCAATGAGATGGGGAATTCTAGACTTGCTTCATTAAGAGCTTTGGCATTGCAGGGAATGCAAGGCAATAGGGAAAATAATGTGGCTCAGGGACTGTGTTCACCTCATGATTTATCTCTCAACTCACGGGTGCTCTTTTTCAATATTAATGGAACTATTTGTTTTCATCAAAATTATACACATTCAGAGACTAAGCATTAGTCTAGGGCGTAAAGCAACTTTTACTCACTCACTTACTCTGTGTTTAAGTATGGGATCGAGTTACGATCAACAGCTCGCTCACCAACTGTCGCCTAGACTAACATTTAGTCCAGATATATAGTTATCTACTTCAACAATATAAGTACAATATGATCCAAATGGATCCACGATCAATGTTTCATTTTGTTAGCTTAAATATGGAAACGCCAAGTTATTATCGACTTCACAAAGTTGAATTGCCGCTTGACAACGGTACAAGAATCTGTATGGAAACGTCGCACTCACGAAATGAATAAGTTGTTATCCATCAAGTTCGTTCAGCATTGTATGGGAGACAGTTCAAGTTGAATGCTACTACTCCAGATAACACTCGCTCTGTCGTGTGAGGTCACTTCAGCTACAATCACGCTTTATCGTCGCAGGCTTAGATTTCCACAGGTCTCTATGGTAATAATTAATAGTTTCATAGAGTAATTCTAAAAATAATAAGTGACATACCGGCGTCCTTATCTAGGCTTGCTTCTTTTAAGGATAGAAGCACTATACATGAAAGGGCGAAGCATTAAGGACAGCCTTGGAGCTAGGCTATCCCAGGCTGTACAGCTGTATTTCATGTGCTGTTACAGATTCTGTGTGTCTCATATATACCCAGGTTGTATCGCAATTACATTTCCAAAGGATCACATGAAAAGATATTTTGAGGTATTGGACTTTTAAAAATAATTTCTACAAAACTGAACCAGAATGAAAGGAGGCACCACTGACCCACGTGGTTATCGGTTGACACGTGTGCGTACTGCTGCTTGGACACGCAGATGTGTTGAATTTGGACTCGTGCGTAACATCAGGGACGCCACTGCATGAGCAAGATGATCTTCAAATTTTCCAAATACTGCGGCCATTTTCAAATCACTCGGTGTCCTATACTAGTGCTCAACCACAACAGCACAGAGGTCTCTTTTACAGACTTAATGGCACATTAAACAATCAAGCTTCACCGTTCCCTTAGCTCCAGCAACAGTCACAACAAAGTTAATAGGCGTGGTGGTTCATTAAAACAATATGATTTCTTCACATATTTTTATGCGTTGCTTATTTCAGAGACCATGTGTAATTCCACCTCCTCAACATCAGTTTGTATTGTTCTCTGAGATCATGAAAAATACTGCATGAAAATGAACTACATGTTGGTATAATTTTCTCAGCCGAGACACGAACTCAGAATCCAGGAAAGGCCGTGCCAGTGATTTCATATATTATATACCTTACGTGTATACAAAACTTTAACGAACATGTTCACCTTGTTGTTGCATAAGCATGGCATGGTCTTATTTATTACCAAAAGCCCTAAATAAAGCAAGTCTAGATTTTCCTCAGGTTGGGGATCTCTAATATCACAGATATTCTTTTCGATTCAAATGGAGCTATTTGTTTCTATATGAAATAAATATTTGCAAAGACTAAGCCTATGTATAGTGGACGTGATGATGATTTTTATCAAGGGCGTACTTACCATTATGAAAAAAACGCCCGGGCTTACACATGATTTTTACTAAAGAGAACCATAGCATGATAGTTGGGCAAGCCCTCAATACTATCTAAATATAAAACGTTACAACCTATCGGTCTGACGAAAAAATTGGCTTGCTATGCGCCTTCTATATTGGTGACCACCAGGCCTTCGTGTCTTTACGAAGATTAAAGGTTGAAAATAAAAGGTTTTTTAGATGGCCCCCGACTCGAAATGCGCCCGACTCGACATCATGTATTGTACTGTGAAGCATTTCGAATCGGGGGTCATCTTACATTTTTCATATATATTTTCATATATTTCATACATCTTTAATCCTCGCAAAGACACGAGGGCCTGTGCCCTCTGCCTCCCCAGAACAAAATGGGTTACACCGAAATAGTTTCCAAATTTTGCTAGCCTGTCGGGCTAGCTATGCCTGAAAGTTAATAGCCCACAAAATAATTCACTAGCCCACGATATCTGAATGTAGAAACTTGCAAAAGATTACAAAAATAGATGAGGAATAAGATATTGTCGGTATGACACGGGTTTCATCATTAAGCTGCTATATAATATGATGAACATTTAAAAGTGTATTATAATAACTTAACAAGTCGGAGAGAGTGAAATATTTACAAAATGACCCCATGAAAATTCACCAGCCATAGCAGGTCTGGTGTGGATTTTATTAGCCGCAGGAGCTAGCGGAACAGTCACTATTTCGCTCAGGGACTGTGAGACACTGCTGACCTGTGGTAGCCATTACCTCACCGAGAGAGAAACATGGTTAGTTATGGGGAGAATCGAAAAGAATTATGGATTGGTTTTCGAAGTGCGCACTATCTGTTAGTCAGTTAGCTGTCGGATAAAGTTTTAATCTTTGACATTGAAATTAGTGTTACAGAATATATATCCTCTATATACATGTACATGTAAGGCCCGTGAAGATCCGGGCTAGAATTGATCTTCAGTAACCCATGCTTGTCGTTAGAGGTGACTGACGCGATCGGGTTGTGAGGCTCGCTTACTTGGTTGACACATGCCATCGTATACCAATTGCGTTGATCGATGCTCATGCTGTTGATAACTGGATTCTCTGGTCAAGACGATTATTTACAGATCGCCGCTATATAGCTGGAATATTGCTGAGTGCGGCGTAAAACTAAACGCACTCACTCACTCACTATATACGTGCAAGCATTATTCACTTGGAAGGAGACGACAGAAAGCTGTAGTCAATGATAAGTACATGGTTATAATGCGATTATACTTCCTTAAAATGGGCAAGTTTAGTCAGTTATTGCGACAACTTGTTCGTAGTATTTACATAATCTGGGACTTGAGATTTAAACTAATGATCGCTTCCTTAGAGACTGGTATATAATATCTGTGCAAGCCTAACGACTGGCCTAGGCGTCCAAGTTCAGTGTTGTCGTCTGTGGGTTTTGTGAGTATGTGACTTTACAACCTGCGCACCCTCCAATGGACGAGTCTATGAGTTCCACAACCCACCAATGCAGGAAGCTTGAGAGAAAATTCCAATATATATTTGGAGAGACGTTTACGATGAGAATACAAAGTTTATATTCTGACACTGACATGCAGATGCAATAACGTAATTTGAGCTGTGACCACAGACGCGTACTCGATGCATGAAGTGGCCACGATAGGACCTCACTCCCCCAGTAGACATTGATTGCAAAACAGGTGTTCGTGTCTTCTTCACATCAGTGTGAATGCCTGGCTTTTGGAATAGATGACTGTCTTGTGTAGACTAACGCTTCGACTCTGAATATGTATAATTTTGATAGTAACAAACAAATCCATCTATATTGATAAGGAGCCCCAGGGAGACCAGAGATGGTTGAACCCGAGGAAATCTAGCTTGGCTTCATTTAGGGCTTTAGCATTGCAGGGGAAAATGATGTGGTTCAGGGACGGTGATACAGTCTAGCAACTTGCTGGCTTGTCCAGATGGAGTTCTGTGAGTTTTTTGAAGATTTTGTTTTAAGCTTCAGCTTTTAATCCTAATATAATTTTACTTAAACATATGGGCATTAATACTAAAGCAAACATTTAGTGCAACAATATATGCTTTTTGTTAAAAATTTTTTCAATCGAATGAATCATAATTATGTTGTTATGACTTTTTAGGAACAATTTCTCTCTTTTTAGTTTAGTAACCAGACAACAGTAGACGGTCCTAAACTAACAAATTTGACATCGTAAATAGTTTCACCAGGCATTTCTTTAAACAAGGACCTTTGTGGTTGAATAATTAATGAATTTCCTGGTTTCGAAACTAGCAATTTGGTCATAATTGAGAAGGGATTGTTTCTAAATGATATCAATGATATACAAATGTGGTCGGCTATAGGGTGTGTTACAGATTGGTGTATGCGGACTGGACCTCTTCTTGAATGTAAGGTGTTATGTTGTTACCGTGGCAATGCAGTCTATCATCAATATCTAATACTGTGGACTTTAGTCACTGATTGACTAACAACTAGTCTCTGAAATGAACATATTTTACAGTTAATAATTGAAAAAAATAACGTATAATGAAAAGGAGCCCTGAGACTTTCTTCATTTTCAGAAACTGGGGACATCTAGACTTGCCACATATTCTAGACTTGCATGGGCTTTATTGGATATATTTGTATCAGGGGCCGTATGAAAGACTGCGTGACTGATACCAGGATTTAAATGACTATATAGATTTACAACATTCCTGTCCCGATTCATTTCTGAGTGTAAAATACATGCCATGTCGTGTGGGTGTGACTCTATGTATACTGAAGTAATGGTGAATTATTAGGCCTACATCACGCGGTGATCAAAATGGACCGAGTTATTATCGTCAGTGACAGATTCAGCACTCTGTATAACGTTTTCTTTGATAGCAGTGGTAAGTTTCGAATTCACGACTATTAAAAAGAGATGAGAGGTTGGCTGGCTGTAGTGTAATGCCGCAATCAGCAGTATTCCAGCCTTTTGGCGGCAGTCTGTAATAAATCGAGTCTGGACCAGACAATTCAGTGATCATCAGCATGTATACGATGACAAGTGTCAGCCAAGTCCGCGAGCCTGGCCACCCGATCCTGTTTGTAGCCTCTTACGACAAGCATGGGTTACTGAAGACCAATTCTAGCCCGGATCTTTACGGGTAAGATGAGAGGTGGTGCTTTGACTTTAGATATCTATCAAAATTTGACATGCCACAACATGTAGATGGTTCTCAATCGTCTTTCTTCTTCTGATTGATAAAAATATGATACCAGTTACGTGAAATGTGGACTACAGATAACTGGTATCACATTTTTAAATTTGTACAAAATTTATTAAAAACAAACAACAAACCCGACAAAACAAAACAAAAAATATACTGTCCGCTTAGTAAAATGGTACTCTTAACCTTTACATGTAATAATAATGTTAATTTGGCCTAATTTCAAGAAGTGTTTCAACATTTCAACATATAAACGTTTTTCTGACACGCACACGTTTGGAGTGAGCGGGAATGTTTCACACACAGCTGACACGATAGGAAGCCTCAGGAGTGTGGTGATGTTCGCGCAGATAGTTTCCCGTCTGTTGATTTTTCAGTAAAAAAAATTAACGTGCAATTAGTCTTTAAAACGTGTCAACTTTCTCAAAAATCAAACATAAAGTAAGCATATTGTGATGACAGGTAACCAAGGACGGATCCAGGATTTTGGAGAAGGGGGTTGCACATAAATGATGAAGTCCAAAAGATAGGGGGAAATGTTCCTCTGGGAAACTTTTGTCGGGGGACAAGCCGCTCAGAAGCGGTGGGGTTGGGGGATGCGCACCCCCGCTGTGGATCCGCCCCTGGGTAACGATGCCTGAACCACAGGGACGTGTCACGCTTAGAAACAGCATTAGAAAGACATATAGGTATATAGACACAACCCTAGTACTATATAAAAGGATCCTTTTATATAGTACTAAGGTAGGGTCTGTATACCTATATGTCTTTCTAACGCTGTTTCTAAGCGTGACACGCCCCTGTGGCCTGAACGAGGCTTGAGCCTTTGGTTCCAATTAAGCGCTTCCTCTGTGACGGTGTGTGGAACCTGCAGAACACGCGGTTGTAGAGGTTTCATCAGATCTAGCCAGTAGGTGAGGTGATCGATCTAAAAAATATCATATAGGTTAAAAACTCACGAAACGGTTTGATACGTCTGTGAAAATATTCATTCGATGTTGAGGAGCAAACGTGGGGTTTCCCTAATCTATTAATAGTTTTGACCTTCTGCACACTACTGTATTCGGCGGGAAATCAAAATCTTGCGACTCATTGCCAGCAGCGAACAAGGTAATAACAAATGCTGAAATGTCTAAATGATACTTTTTGTTTGCTCTCATGGTATGGAGTGATTTAATGACATATTTACAGTTTTGTCACAGACGGTCTGATGAGCGGAACGACTGCTTGTGACAAGTTGTGTTCGAGCTGCTCACCAGTCCACAGGGTCGTGTCACGCTTAGAAACAGCGTTAGAAAGACATATATGATATAGGTATACAGACCCTACCCTAGTACTATATAAAAGGATCCTTTTATATAGTACTAGGGTTGTGTCAATATACCTATATGTCTTTCTAATGCTGTTTCTAAGCGTGACACGTCCCTGTGCACCAGTCATTGTACGGACACGAGTGTTGCGACCAGAACTGGGATACGAGGCTGCGACTTCTCGCAGCGGGGCAACCCTTTTTATTTGACAGAACGTTCTTCTGATATGCTTTTATGATGTGCCTTTAAATTTCCAATGTCAATGTGCACGTGTGTATTTTATGTATAGGATAAAACACGACTCCGAGGTTTTGGTGGAGATTGTAAAACCTCAGGGGAAGGAAATCCCGAGTGCGCGTTAGCGCCCGAGGGATTTCCTGACACTGAGGTTTTACAATCTCCACCAAAACCGAGGAGGAGTAAGTTTTATCTTACTTATAAAACGTCTAAGACAACACTTAATTTCAATTTGTGCATGTACTGAGTAGAACAACATTCATGGAACAGTCCGCAAATGATGGAACAGCCGGTGTCAACTGGGATGCGACTGGCAGCCAACACCTTGCCCCGCACGCGCAATCCGTGTCTTGCACGCGCTACCCGTGTCCTGCGTGCGCTGCCCGCAGTACCTGTCGTGTGAGAAACACATGGTTCATACTGAGAAACCATCTCATTCCTCACAGCGATCCTTCGTAGCGTAATGGATAAAACCGCCAAGCTAGAGAGCGACGGGTTGTGGGTTCGAAACCAGTTATCGCCAAAAAATATTGGAAGTTTTCAATAATTAGAAATTTTACGATCAGTCATCAGGGTATGAGGTTTTACAACGACCATTGTAAAACTTCGTACCTCGTATGAGGTATTACAACGGTCATTGTAAAACCTCCTGCGAGGTATTACAATGATCATTGTAAAACCTCCTGCAATCGTAAAACCTCTACCGAGGTTATTCCATAATGCGAAGCAACTGCAAGAACAATAGACAACATTGGCCATAGGTTTATAATGATGCATAAAGCATTTATGTAATGAATAACTTGCTGTAGGCGTTGTCCTATACCGCAGACTTTCAACAGTGCTCGCTGGATCGTCTGGCCGGGAGTCGTGTTTTCACAGAGTGGAGCGGTAATGCAAGAATTTTCATATTGCGATATATTGCAAGATGTTGTTTTTTTTAAACAAAGTGGGTAAAATGTGTGAAGCTCATTTCTGGTGTCCCCGCCGTGATATTGCTTGAATATTGCTAAAAGCGGCGTAAAACCAAACTCATTCACTCAATTTTTAAACAAAAACTACTTATCATCGATATAATTGAGTTAATGCTTGATTTTTAAAGCAAAACCACTACAAAATCAGTATGGTTGATTAACCATAATAAAAACTTTTAATCATGACGAAATAAAAATGTAAATAATATTTGGCACAAATTAAACTAGGAATAGAACAATTTAACATCAACACAGTGGTTATTTGATTGAACTAGTTCCTCCACTCTCAAAAAAAGCCTTGAGATTTTAGACAGCACCTTGACCTGGTCAGGACATATCAGAGATGACTGGTCATATTTCAGTAAATATGTATAACATTCAGATCCAAAACATTGCGAAACACTTGATAAAAAATTCAAACCGAACTTAACAATCCAATTTAATGTAATTTTCACCACGATCATTCCCATAAAACGATTACCACAATTGCCACAATCATCAAGATTTCCGAGTGTACGAAGTTTTCCTAATGCATGGCAAAATACCGGTTTTCTATCAGCGTATCGCAATACGTATCGTTTTCATGAGTGAACCGGTAAATACCTGTAAACCGGTTTTATTGTGCAGCCCTAGTAAACAACAGGTGCTCCCGGTCACTCGCGCAGAAACACATACATTGAAAAGAAACATTTGTTTTCATTTGATCTTCTCAGTAAAACACATATAACTTGTGTTCGCATTTGAGAAAAAAACAACAGCAGCACATATCAATAAAGGTGTTCTAAAATCCCATTAATAATTCTTGGGAAAGTTGGCTACAAAAGAATATATTCTTATGTTACAGGCAACAGTAACTCACAACATGGAGGATGTAGATGGTTGTCACAGTTGGCGGGGAAGTATGGTGACAGTCTCCCTGAGTCCGAGTAGAGGATGGTGACAGTCTCACTGTGTCTGGGGACAGAATGGTTACAGTCTCCCTGTGTCTGCAAACAGGATGGTTACAGTCTTACTGTGTCTGGAGGTAGAGGATGGTGACAGTCTCCCTGTGTCTGGGGACAGGATGGTTACAGTCTTACTGTGTCTGGAGGTAGAGGATGGTGACAGTCTCCCTGTGTCTGGGGTAGGATGGTGACAGTCTCCCCTGAGTCTGGGAGAGAGGACGGAGACAGTCTCCTGTGTCTGGGGGGAGAGGATGGTGACAGTCTCCCTGTGTATGGAGGTAGAAGATGGTGATGGTCCCCTGTGTCTGGGGGGAGAGGATGGTGACAGTCTCCCCTGTGTCTGGGGGAGAGGATGGTGACAGTCTCCCTGTGTCTGGGGAGAGAGGATGGTGACAGTCTCCTGAGTCTCTGGGGACAGGATGGTGACAGTCTCCCCTGTGTCTCTCCCTGAGTCTCAGAGGATGGTGACAGTCTCCTGTGTCTGGGGAGAGGATGGTGACAGTCTCCTGTGTCTAAGGAGAGGATGGTGACAGTCTCCCTGAGTCTCAGTAGAGGATGGTGACAGTCTCCCTGTGTCTGGGGAGAGGGGATGGCGACAGTCTCCCTGTGTCTGGGGAGAGGATGGTGACAGTCTCCCTGTGTCTGGGGAGAGGATGGTGACAGTCTAACTGTGTCTGGGGGAAAGGATGGTGACAGTCTCACTGTGTCTGGGGGGAGAGGATGGCGACAGTCTCCCTGTGTCTGGGGGGAAGGATGGTGACAGTCTCACTGTGTCTGGGGACAGGATGGTGACAGTCTCCCTGTTCCTGGAACTTGAAGAGAGGAAGGTGACAGTCTACCTGTTCCTGGAACTGGAAGAGAGGAAGGTGACAGTCTACCTGTTCCTGGAACTGGAAGAGAGAATGGTGACAGTCTCCCTGTGTCTCTGGGGAGAGGATGATGACAGTCTCCCTGTTCCTGGAACTTGAAGAGAGGATGGTGACAGTCTACCTGTTCCTGGAACTGGAAGAGAGAATGGTGACAGTCTCCCTGAGTCTCAAGAGAGGATGGTGACAGTGTCCCTGTGTATGGGGAGAGGATGGTGACAGTCTCTCGTTCCTGGAACTTGAAGAGAGGAAGGTGACAGTCTACCTGTTCCTGGAACTTGAAGAGAGGGAGGTGACAGTCTACCTGTTCCTGGAACTGGAAGAGAGAATGGTGACAGTCTCCCTGAGTCTCAGTAGAGGATGGTGACAGTGTCCCTGTGTATGGGGAGAGGATGGTGACAGTCTCCCGTTCCTGGAACTTGAAGAGAGGAAGGTGACAGTCTACCTGTTCCTGGAACTGGAAGAGAGAATGGTGACAGTCTCCCTGTGTCTCTGGGGAGAGGATGATGACAGTCTCCCTGCGTCTCTGGGGAGAGGATGGTGACAGTCTCCCTGTTCCTGGAACTTGAAGAGAGGAAAGTGACAGTCTCCCTGTGTCTCTGGGGAGAGGGTGGTGACAGGCTCCCTGTTCCTGGAACTGGAAGAGAGGATGGTGACAGTGTCCTTTTGTCTCTGAGGAGAGGATGGTGACATTCTCTGTGTCTGGGGAGAGTGAGGTGTGGGAAGATCACTGACAGGTAGGGCTGAGTGAACAATCTGTTTATCAGCCTTAATAAGGCAGTTTGTTCATTTTTGTCATGTGTTTTTTAATAATCTAAAAGAAGGCAGCACAATGATCCCAACCAACACTGTAACTAATTGAATTGAAATGTTTGTCATTTACTCAATAGTTATGACAGGGAAAAGAATCTGGCTTCTGTATATTTGGACAGGATACGACCATGTGTAGCAGGTTCAAATCAGCCCTATAAAATTCTTTCTGGTGTGGCTTCATCTGAGGCGCAGGTCACTCTGTGTGATGTGGGCCGCAACACTCTCTCCAGGATTCAGTCACCTGGTCCAGGTCCCACTCTGGAATCATCTCTGACGGGACTGAATTGTGCCTCCTTCTCTAGCCTCCCAAGGCCTGCATTAATTGTACACCTGGCTTCTCAAGAGGAAATGAACTTATTGACACATCTTTCATCACAAATAGAGTTGATAAATATCTTTGGTTTTGCAAGTATGATGAATAACAAAGGGCACATCATTACCTGATGTTCAGATTTCTCAGGTATTTTAAGTTAAAGAAATTCAAACAGACCTTTGTACTGTACCATCCAAAATGAGAAGCATTATGTACAAGGTGTGGAAGCTTTTGGTGCTTTTGTGTTCATACACTACAGCGACTTGTGGTGTTGTAATGAATTGGTAATGAATTCTCATTTAAAATATGTTCAGTGAGTTGTCAGTTTACATTTAGCATGGAGGTTGAAAATTATTGCTAGTTTCATGTAGCCCAAACCTGTATTAAATCTTCATTGCAAATGAGGTGACCATATTCTTATGATTTGATATGTGTAGTGTCTACCAATTGTCTGAACTTACATCTAACCTTACTGCCATACACACGCTGGAATTTCAAATGAATACACTAAGAAAAATTTTGATAGAAAGAACCTGTAGGAAATGAGGTGTTTTATATTTGTTAGCTGCTTTCCCTGTATGCTGGTTAGTCAGAAGTACTGAATGACCAGTTGGTTGCTGAAGGACTGTGAACGTTATATTTGTTGGAACTGAACATGGTGCAAGCACCACTGTAGGACCAACATGCTGCTAAGCATTCAGTTTTGAAATGTGTTTCAGTGTATTTGACCACATTACTATAGTAGTTTAACATACAGCATTTGTTCTTGTCAGTCAAAAACCCCAAAGAAAATGAAACCTGGAAAAGCCAACCTCTGGCAACTCCTTTGATTGCATCATGATCACCGGATTGTGTGACCCCTCTTTGAACATGGCTGACATATTGTCAATGTCATCTTGTGCCCATTTCTGCTGAGCTCGGGCTCATACTAGTGACTAAGTCGCAGATTGTAGTATGTTTTTTGCCATATTATATTTTTAAGTTATGATTTTTTTACTTTCTAAAACCCAGTTTTTCTGGGGTTATTGCCTTTTCTACTGAGACTAGAACAAGGGCCATTGACGTGTATCTTAACTGGAAGCCTCCCAACTAGGGTATTTCTACAAACTGCACAGAATTTAGTATTTGAGAAAGATGCAGAATCTTGTAGTGTTCTATTTAACTCACCATGACAGAGTTGTTCCTATGTCCAGTACCTTACAATCTCATTTCCAGTGTAACTCAACACATTCTACAGGTGCTCTCTCAGGAGGAAGTTTATGTTTTACATTAAATATACCAGAGCAAAAGTAACAGTTTTTATGACAGGTCATTTCCATGAACATAATGCCTTTTTGTGTTCAGAATTATTTGAAATATTGTATGAAGATACACTGGAGTAATATTTGAACAGGGTTCCAGATAATTTTTCAACATCAGGAGTACGTACTTTCTTATTTTTCAATATTGGAGTACTGGAAAACCTTAAGAGTACATTTAGAGTACTGAATGGAATTTAATGGCATATCAGTAATCTTGTGTTTCGTTTCATATTTGCACCACAACATTGCTACTCTTGTGTAAACAGGTAAATGATCAATAAAACAATACTTTTTCAGATAAATATGTCTGTAAATGACTGTTATATTGGCACCTTTGTACTGTCATAGTGATACCTTTGTTCTGCCATAGTGATACCTTTGTACTGTCATAGTGATACCTTTGTACTGCCATAGTGATACCTTTGTACTGCTATAGTAGCACCTTTGTACTGTCATAGTGGCACCTTTATGCTGTCATAGTGATACATATAGTGATACCTTTGTACTGCTATAGTGGTATCTTTGTACTGTCATAGTGATACCTTTGTACCATTGTACCTTTGTCATAGTGGCACCTTTACTGTACCTTGTACCGTCATAGTGATACCTTTACCGTTATAGTACCTGTCATAGTGATACCTTTGTACCTGTCATAGTGATACCTTTGTACTGTTATAGTGGTATCTTTGTACCTTTGTACTGTCATAGTGGCACCTTTGTACCGTCATAGTGGTATACCATTACCTTTGTACTGTTATAGTGATATCCTTTGTACCGTGATATAGTGATACCTTTGTACTGTTATAGTGGTATAGTGTGGCACCTTTGTACTGTCATAGTGATACCTTTGTACTGTCATAGTGATACCTTTGTACTGTTATAGTGGCACCTTTGTGTCACCTTTGTATAGTTATACCTTTGTACCGTCATAGTGGTATACCTTTATAGTGGCACCTTGCAGCATAGTGATACCTTGTACATAGTGTGATACCTTGTACCGTCATAGTGATACCTTTAGTACCGTCATAGTGATATCTTTGTACTGTTATAGTGTCACCTTTGTACTGTTATAGTAAATACCTTTGTACCGTCATAGTGATACCTTTGTACTTGTCATAGTGATACCTTTGTAATGTCATAGTGATACCTTTGTACTGTTATAGTGGTATCTTTGTACTGTCATAGTGATACCTTTTGTACTGCTATAGTGGTATCTTTGTACTGTTATAGTGGCACCTTTGTACTGTCATAGTGATACCTTTGTACTGTCATAGTGATACCTTTGTACTGTTATAGTGATACCTTTGTACTGCCATAGTAGCACCTTTGTACTGTTATATTGGCACCTTTGTACTGTCATAGTGATACCTTTGTACTGTTATAGTGGTATCTTTGTACTGCCATAGTGATACCTTTGTACTGCCATAGTGTTACCTTTGAACTGTTATAGTGGTATCTTTGAACTGCTATAGTGATGCCTTTGTACCGTCATAGTGGCACCTTTGTACTGTCAAGTGATACCTTTGTACTGTCATAGTGATACCTTTGTACTGTTATAGTGGTATCTTTGTACTGCCATAGTGATACCTTTGTACTGTCATAGTGGCACCTTTGTACTGTCATAGTGATACCTTTGTACTGTTATAGTGGTATATTTTTGTACTGTTATAGTGATACCTTTGTACTGTTATAGTGGATACCTTTGTACTGTTATAGTGGTATAGTGATACCTTTGTACCGCCATAGTGATACCTTGTACCGTCATAGTGATACCTTTGTACTGCTATAGTGGTATCTTTGTACCGTTATAGTGGTATCTTTGTACCGTCATAGTGATACCTTTGTACCGTTATAGTGGCACTTTGTACTTAGTGTACCTTTGTACCGTCATAGTGGCACCTTTGTACCGTTATAGTGGCACCTTTGTACCGTTATAGTGATACCTTTGTACCGTCATAGTGATACCTTTTACTGTCATAGTGATACCTTTGTACTGCCATAGTGGCACCTTTGTACTGTCATAGTGGCCTTTGTACCTTTGTACCGTCATAGTGATAGTGACCTTGTACCGTACATAGTGTTTGTACCGTCATAGTGGTATCTTTGTACCGCCATAGTGATACCTTTGTACTGCCATAGTAGCACCTTTGTACCGTCATAGTGATACCTTTGTACTGTCATAGTGGCACCTTTGTACTGTCATAGTGGTACCTTTGTACTGTCATAGTGGCATCTTTGTACTGTCATAGTGATACCTTGTACCGTCATACTGGTCATAGTACACCTTTGTCCCGCCATAGTGATACCTTTGTACTGTCATAGTGGTATCTTTGTAATTCCATAGTGGATACCTTTGTACTGTTATAGTGATACCTTTTTACCGTCATAGTGGCACCTTTGTACCGTCATAGTGATACCTTTGTACTGTCATAGTGGCACCTTTGTACCGTTATAGTGGCACCTTTGTACTTATAGTGGCACCTTTGTACTGCTATAGTGGCATCTTTTGTACCGTTATAGTGGCACCTTTGTACCGTTATAGTGATACCTTTGTACCGCTATAGTAGTTATTTTTACCGCCATAGTGATACCTTTGTACCGCTATAGTAGCACCTTTGTACTGTCATAGTGGCACCTTTGTACTGTCATATTGATACCTTTGTACTGTCATAGTGGCACCTTTGTCCCGCCATAGTGATACCTTTGTACTGTTATAGTGGTATCTTTGTACTTCCATAATGATACCTTTGTACCACCATAGTGATACCTTTGTACTGTCATAATGGCACCTTTGTACCGTCATAGTTATACCTTTGTACCGCTATAGTGGTATCTTTGTACCGTTATAGTGGCACCTTTGTACCGTTATAGTGGCACCTTTGTACTGTTATAGTGATACCTTTGTACCGCTATAGTAGTTATTTTTACCGCCATAGTGATACCTTTGTACTGCTATAGTAGCACCTTTGTACCGTCATAGTGGCACCTTTGTACTGTCATAGTGATACCTTTGTACTGTTATATTGGCACCTTTGTACCGTCATAGTGATACCTTTGTACCGTCATAGTGATACCTTTGTACTGTTATCGTGGTATCTTTGTACCGCCATAGTGATACCTTTGTACCGCTATAGTAGCACCTTTGTACTGTCATAGTGGCACCTTTGCGCTGTCATAGTGATACCTTGTACTGCTATAGTGGTATCTTTGTACTGTCATTGTCATACCTTTGTACTTTCATATTGGCACCTTTGTACTGTGATAGTGATACCTTTGTACTGTCATAGTGATACCTTTGTACTGTCATAGTGGCACCTTTGTACTGTTATAGTGGTATCTTTGTACTGTCATAGTGGCACCTTTGTACTGTCATAGTGATACCTTTGTACTGTCATAGTGATATCTTTGTACTGTTATAGTAATACCTTTTACTGCCATAGTGATACCTTTGTACTGCCATAGTAGCACCTTTGTACCGTCATAGTGGCACCTTTGTACTGCTATCATAGTGATACCTTTGTACTGTTATATTGGCACCTTTGTATATAGTCATAGTGATACCTTTGTACTGTCATAGTGATACCTTTTACTGTTATAGTGGTATCTTGTACTGCCATAGTGATACCTTTGTACTGCTATAGTAGCACCTTTGTACTGTCATAGTGGCACCTTTGTGCTGTCATAGTGATACCTTTGTACTGCTATAGTGGTATCTTTGTACTGTCATTGTCATACCTTTGTACTGTCATAGTGGCACCTTTGTACTGTGATAGTGATACCTTTGTACTGTCATAGTGATACCTTTGTACTGTCATAGTGATACCTTTGTACTGTTATAGTGGTATCTTTGTACTGTCATAGTGGCACCTTTGTACTGTCATAGTGATACCTTTGTACTGTCATAGTGATATCTTTGTACTGTTATAGTAATACCTTTGTACTGTTATAGTGTCACCTTTGTACTGTTATAGTGGTACCTTTGTACTGTCATAGTGGTACCTTTGTACTGTCATAGTGATACCTTTGTACTGTTATAGTTGCACCTTTGTCAGCCATAGTGATACCTTTGTACTGTTATAGTGTCACCTTTGTACTGTCATAGTGATACCTTTGTACTGTCATAGTGGCGCCTTAGTACTGTCATAGTGATATCTTTGTACTGTTATTGTGTCACCTTTGTACTGTTATAGAAATACCTTTGTACTGTCATAGTGATACCTTTGTACTCTCATAGTGATACCTTTGTACTGTCATAGTGATACCTTTGTACTGTTATAGTGGTATCTTTGTACTGTTATAGTGATACCTTTGTACTGCTATAGTGGTATCTTTGTACCGTTATAGTGGCACCTTTGTCCTGTCATAGTGATACCTTTGTACCGTCATAGTGATACCTTTGTACTGTTATAGTGATACCTTTGTACTGCTATAGTAGCACCTTTGTTTGTACTGTTATAGTTGGCACCTTTGTACTGTCATAGTGATACCTTTGTACTGTTATAGTGGTATCTTTGTACTGTCATAGTGATACCTTTGTACTGCCATAGTGATACCTTTGTACTGTTATAGTGGTATCTTTGTACTGTTATAGTGGCACCTTTGTACCGTCATAGTGGCACCTTTGTACCGTCACAGTGATACCTTTGTACCGTCATAGTGATACCTTTGTACTGTCATAGTGATACCTTTGTACTGTTATAGTGGTATCTTTGTACTGCCATAGTGATACCTTTGTACTGTCATAGTGGCACCTTTGTACTGTCATAGTGATACCTTTGTACTGTTATAGTGGTATCTTTGTACTGTTATAGTGATACCTTTGTACTTGTTATAGTGGTATCTTTGTACCGTTATAGTGATACCTTTGTACCGTCATAGTGGCACCTTTGTACTGTCATATTGATACCTTTGTACCTGGTATCTTGTACCGTTATAGTGGCACCTTTGTACTCCTCATAGTGATACCTTTGTACCGTT